GATTCTCCACAAATAGAGATAAAAACCCTGCAAGACCTGAGTCTCCCTCAGTTTACAAATGTCCTCGTGATTCTCCTGGAAGAGGCTTGCTTAACAAGAGGCTAGCTACCATCCAGAGACCTGTAACTACGTTTCCTGAAGCCCTATCATCTCCCTCCCCTCCATAACACTGAGGGAGGCTGAGGCAGAAGGAAATGTCAATAAAATGGAATTTCTATTCAAACCTGCAGTTCCTTGAGAAGGACTTGTGAGAGGAGGAAAGTAACATTCCCCCAGGAAGCTCCCAACAATCTTTCTATTAATGCCTTCCTAGAAGGAAAAAACCACCTTGAGAAGAGCAAAGCCTCTGGTTTCCTGTGTGTCCTCTGTCCTACTGCAATGTTCTTGCAAAACCTCCCTTTTGCCTGACCTCTACCAATGCCATCCTAGAGAGTCAGCCTCCCATCAAAACCCAGCATAGCAACCCATTCTACACACAGGTCGTGTACCTTTACTTTAATAAAAATCACCTTTTGCCAGCAAAGCCATCTCAAGACTTCTTTCTTGACCATCAGCCTTGAACTCTAACATCTTTCCTACATCAGTCCTGTCTCTTCTAAGGCTCCTGTGGAAACAACCCTGCAACACTGTCCCATTTCTGTCAATTCTTCCATCTCCATCCACCTAACCCACTGCACATTCTGTGTCCTCTAAGGACAGGACACTTCTGTGATTCTTGGGCTGAAACTGTCACACGGCACCTCTTTCAGTCCTTGACATTCTTGAGTTTGCCCATCTTAATCTCCCCAGCATCCCATCCTCACTTTCTTTTTCTCACATGTTTATCTGGTCAATAGGTTCTAATCATCAATACCCTATAACATGTTTCTGCTCCTGAGTAGAAGACTCCATTTCTTTCCTTTGTCATCAAGCTCAAATCTTAACTCTCACATGTTTGTCTCACAACTTTCAAAATTTTTCATTCCCCTAATGCCTTTCTACCAGTTTCTCTTCTCCCTTTTTTCAAACCTTCCCTCCCCTCCCTTGCTTCTTTCCTTCCTTCCCTTCATTATCTTTTTGTTCTTTGTATTCCTCCCTCCCTCCCCATCTTTCTTTCTTTTGTTCTGTTCTGTTAGTCCCCATACAGCACTTCAGTCCTTTTCATGTAGTGTTCGTGACTCATTCTTTGTGTAATAGACCCAAGAGCTCACAGCAATATGTTCCCTATCATAAAGTGATATCCACACAGGTGCACCTCAAAGGTCTGCTTCTCTGCAAGTCAATGGTAAGTTCACAGTAATGAACCTTGGCCTTCCACACTACAGCTGGACATGGGGTATGCTATGCATTCACCACAATCTCCTGTCTTACAAGACACTGAGCATATGCGTTGTCCCACCAGAAATCTGAAGAGTTTCATTTCTCAGCTGAAAGGGGCCTCGAGTCAAGCCATCACCTGAGTGTCTGTAAAAGTCACTGGCTTCAACACAACTCACCGATATAGTCAATGAAACTTAAACATCTAAAATTTAATCAGAAGTTGACATGGGTGTGAGGCTACCATGTAGAATGATCTATCTGAATTCAGGAAAGTAACCCTCACCTGACTACAAGTGGCATGCAGAGACTATTCCTGAAGGAAGGGACTGGAATTCATACCTTGGGTCAGAAAGGGAGGAACATGAGTGAGCAATCCTTCCACAGCCCCTCCTGTTCTGGCCATTAGCAGAGGGTTCACACTGCACAGGAACCCGGCCAATGCTGGGGCACAGGAGGGAGATTTCTCATGTCCCTCACCTCACTCCATGGGTGTTGTGTCCTGGGAAGACAAGTATTGTATTTACTGACAATGTGGAAGCCTTCAGCCATGTGTCCCTCGTGCCAGGGACATCAGAGCTCGTTCATCCTGGATCGCGCCACACACATCTCCCCAGTGTGGGAGAACCTTTGGTCGGGGCTCTAACCTCAGGAGACATGACAGAACTCACCCTTCCGAGGAAAGTAGACATGATACTCATGGGGGAAAAAATTCCAGGGCAATGCTCACCTCTGTACACAGCAAAACCACCGGAGTGACACCTTAGGGATGTAACGAAGGTTGGAGATGCTTTCATTCAGAGAGCTCTGCTCTTATTCATGCCCAGGACCTCACACGGGGTAGAAGCCATGTGGTAGGATTGTTGCACAAGTGCTCGCAGCAACATGCATCCCTTCGAGGCTATGGGCACATTCCCACGGACAAGAAACTGGTTGAAGGCCATCTTCAAGGGAAAGCATTTAGTCCAGCCACACCCTTAGCCAACATCTGGGGATCCACACTGGCGGGAACCCCGACAAATGTGGTCAACGTGAAGAGCCGTTAGATACAGCTCTCACATTTGGATACACCAGACAACTCAGAGCAGAGAAACCTGTCTGTCATCACTGGGGTCCCGCCTTTACCCAGAGCACCCACCTTCTCACCACCACAAAAATCACACTGTACAAACCCCGTGGCTGTGAACACTGAGGCAGACCCTTCTGGCAGAAGTGGTCCCTTTCCCAACACCAGAGAACTCACATGGGGAGAACCACTAGCTCTGTATCTTGGTGGCAGAAGCTTCAGCTGGTGCTCTGGCCTGAGGTCCTGCTACAATCTCAGAGTGCGTGTCATCCCTCACACAGGAGCGAAGGTGCAGGGACCTCCTGGGACATCCTGCATCATCGCTGCTGCTGGATGCCGATGAAATCCATGTGGGAATCCCATTCCTCACGAAGCCAACACATGAAGGACCTGGGAGAATTTGGACACAAGAAAATCCTCCCAGTGTGATGAGGAAAGGAATGTTCTCAGGTATCCCTTCTTCCTTAGCCAGCAACGACACCCTCACACTTAGGAAACACTGATCCCAGTGCAACAGGGGGGAATTCTTCCCCGGACACTCACATCAGAAAATCACTGGGCAAATACTTCCCAGGGAATTTCTTAGGGGGACACTGAGATACAAACTCAGACACTGACAATTTTTCTCTGCAAACACATACAAATGGGTCACGTTCTGGGGGATGTTGAATGCACTATTCCAGTAACCAATAGCTAGCAATAAAGCACATCTTCTCTGATTCATCAGTACTTGCATAAAGGCCAGTATGACCGAACAGGTGGGGTCTCACAATGGTGAGCACTGTGCCAAGTAAGAATGGGAGACTTTCCTTTACTAGCTCTCACAACTGACACTGTACTGTCTCTCAGTAGGAAGTTTGACACATAAATACACTGCCTGTGATCCATGAGAACATAAATTGGAGGGTTAACTCAGAATCTTAGAACACAAGGTGATTGACGTATGTTCACAAAAACATTAATCTACCGATGTATGTAGATCGCAAGGATGAATGACAATAAGATTCAACAAACACATGGTTTGTGATCTACCTCTCATATGTCTGTAGTTCTACTAATATTGTCCTCATAAATTGGAAAGGATTTACAAATTAATTACATGCTTAGAAATATTTCTATTTTCTTTACTTATTTGAGAGTGAGAGAGCTAGAGAGGGAGCAAGAACAGTCTGGGTTGGGCAGCAGGGAAGAGGGAGAGGAAGCAGTCTTCACATTGAGAAGGGTGCCCAATGCAGGGCCTGATCCCCCAGGATCCAGGGATCCTGACCTCAGCCAAAGGCAGATGCTTAACCAACTCTGCAACCCAGGGGTTTGCAAATTTATTTCATCTTTTCCAAACTTGCTGTTTTGGAAGAACTGTGTGTATCAGAACAGGAATAAAACTCTACTGTTCAGAGTCAGGCAGTGAGGGCTACCTCCCCCTCTATGAGAATTTGGTAGCCAACTGCTTTTCTCCACCACCAAAAATAGCTACTTATCTCTTGGCCTGAGAAGGTGTAAGACCACTGCTGATATGGAAATAGTACCCAATTTAGAAGATGATAGAACAGAAGGGAGTACATACGCTGCCTTCCATAAACACAAAGCACATCCAGGAATGCCTGTATGGTTCTTTTAGTTAAGGGACCAACTCTTGAATTTGGCTCAGGTCCTGATATCAGGGTTGTCAGATCAAGCTCCTGCCATGTGTAATGCTCTGCACAGCATGTAGAGCCTGCTTAAGGGTCTCTCTCTCCCTCCATACCTCCCCTTCCAAACTTGGCTACCAGGAGTTCCATGATGTCTATGCCAGACTAAAGGAGGCACGTGTAGGACAAGAGATGAGCCAGCGGTCAATCACCACTGGCAACTAGTGACAAGAGACTAAATAAACTTCCTGCTACTCCCAGAACCAAACAGAAGACTTGCAGAAATCCTATTAAAACTGCATTTCACATGACCATCATAGCGATGCTTACGTCTCCTAGAATCTTCATATGAGAAATGTGTTCTCATTCATCTACCCTGAATCTTCAGTGATATGGAATTCCTACAGGAGATGTGCATACACTCTACCTCCTCATGTCTTCTCTACTCTATGTGAGTGACCTTCTTACTGACCCTCTTGATTTTGGCTGAGGTGATTATCTCAGGGTTGTGAGATCAAGCCCTGTGTCATGTTCTGCAAAGCGTGTGGAGCCTGCCCAGTGTCTCGTCTCTCTCTCCCACCTCCCCCTCTTAAAAAAAAAAACAAAACAAACACGTCCACTAGAGATCCATTTGTAAAGATGCCCGATATTCTTTACTCTAGTTTACTGGCCCTAAAAAGAATGTGTTGGCAGAAAACACTATTTTGGAGTGAATGTCTATTTATAAGATAACCCTGCAATAACTCAGGATTCTGCTAACAGAAGCAACCTGTAGCTCAGATGTTTTGCTTGGGGCAGAGACTTGCAGAACCTTCTCCATATGTGCCACTAAGTAATTTCCCCCAAGGAACAAACTCTAGATATTCTGGTTAAGGGTGCATCTTCAATTTAATCGACAAAAAGAGGGTATCTTTCCCTCCAGAAGAAAGACAGAAACCAGCAAAAGAAGACACCCAAGTCAAGGCCTGAACTTCAACCCAGGTGGAAGGTTCAGAACCAAGACAACTTACCACTGTGATGCACATCCACCAGGGAGAAGACAGGGGTCACACTCCTGTACATGTTGCACTTGAATCTGCACTGAAGAGACAGAGGCCAGACGCATTGGATGCTGCCAACGAGGCCAAGTCACCTGAGCCTCAAAGCACCACCTGTAAAAACAGGGAGAGCATTTAGTTGAGGTTCCAGGACCCACACTCAGGAAGACACAATGTCACACAAAACTGAAAGCATGCTCCTCCCTTCCAGCAGAGAGCACCAGCTCAAAACCAAAACCAAAGGATCCTGAAATTTGTGAAATACTTAGCACTGCTGCTGGCAGACCTTCAAATAATACATGCATGGTCAATTGGCTACCAGGATTTCCATGACATCTATGCCAGACCCAAGCAGAAGGATGTGGGCCAGGAGATGGCCCAGAGGTCAATCACCAACTAGTGACAAGAGTCAAAATAAAGTTCCTGCTGCTCCCAGAACCAAAATAGAAAATCTGCAGAAACTCTATTTCAACTGCATTTTGCATGACCATCCTAGGGATGCTTACTTCTCCTTGAATCCTCTTCCACCTTGGACATGGTTCTCATTCATCTACCCCGTCACTTCAATGACATGGAACTCCCATAGGAGATATGCATATACTCTACCTCCTCAATGTCTTTTCTACTGTACGTGAGTGACTCTGTTAGTCTTGCTTCCTTTCTTTTTTCACAACTCTATTTGGCTGAAATGAGCCTCCGGTCTTTTCTTTCTAAGACATGCCTCTCATGGACCCTGGAACTAAAAAAAAAAGAAACTAAAAAAAAACAACAACTAATCACCACCCAATATGAACGTAACCTATACCCTGGAGATTGAAGTTGTTTCACTTGTAACCAGAGACTATGCTACTGACCCAAAGGGCAAACCCTCCAACAACCAGCTTCTAGAGGATTCTGGGACAATTTGGAGTAAGTTCTGATAGGATTTTCCCAATCAGAAAACACTGCCAGCCTCCAAAGTGAGGTCCCTAAACCTGATTGTGAACTAAATAGACTCAGAGCTTCACAAGCTCCATTGTGAGGCACAGAAATGCCTGGCGGGGGGTGCCTGGGTGGCTCATTGGGTTAAGCCTCTGCCTTCAGCTCAGGTCATGATCTCAGGGTCCTGGGATCGAGCCCCGCATTGGGCTCTCTGCTCAGCGGAGAGCCTTCTTCCTCTCTCTCTGCCTGCCTTTCTGCCTACTTGTGGTCTCTCTCTTGCTTTGTCAAATAAATAAAATCTTAAAAAAAAAAAAAGATTCACCTCCCTTTCCAATAGGTGAACCATGATAGACTATGGACTCTGAAAAACAATCTGAGGGTTTTGAAGGGGCAGGGGATGGGAGGTTGGGGGAACCAGGTGGTGGGTATTAGAGAGGGCACAGATTGCATGGAGCACTGGGTGTGGTGCAAAAATAATGAATACTGTTATGCTGAAAATAAAAAAAAAAAGTTAGCAAAAAAAATGATTAAAAAATTAAAAAGCTACTGAAAAAACAATACTAAGCACTACATAATAAATATGCAAATAATGTTATATACTGTCAACCCCCCCCAAAAAATAAATAAATAAATAAATAACAATAATAACAATAATAAAAAAAAAAAAGAAATGCCTGGCGGTGGTGGCAGCGGGTGCCAGTCCACATGGGTGATGGATTTCACTTCAATGGATTTAGGATGGTTTCTTAGATGCAAGAAAGCAGCCGCAAACACACTTGGTTTCTTAGCATCTATTCTAACTAAGCCTGGCATGCATAGTGATGGACCGTTCTATACAGATTTTGAAACCCTGCTGTGCTGGAACTTTTCATGAGGAAACTCTAGAGTGAACATTCAGTAGTGTGTCCAGGCCAAAGCCAAGCACAATACTCCCATCAGACTTGACTTCAATACCTGTCGATTTGGGTGGATTCCTCTTCCTGAGTTCCCCCTAATATCCTGAGGTTCCTATACCTGCCAACAAGTAACATTCTCTACTCATCTGGCAAGGCTCCTGGGCACTGTGTCATCGAGGCGTCAAGCCGCTATTGCCAAGGGGCTCCACAAAGTCACTCTTAATTCCTGCAAATTATCTGGTCATTATCTGAGTCTATACACGTTACTCTCAAATAGGACATTTCAATCAATCCCTTGGTAAAATAACCAATGTTTCCAGCGGTGTCCTGTTACTAGAAAAAGGCACTTGTGCGGAACTTATGCCAATAATCCTAAGTACCTTGGAAGAAAGAATTCTCCCTGAGAGTTTGTGAATGATGGAGGGTTCAGGGAGGGAGAGAAGTTAAATGCTCCCATTTGTTCACACAGAAATATTTCATCACATTTCTGTAGATCATGGATATTTTCAGATACACTTTCCCGCAATCTGGAAGAAGAAACATTAAAGAACCAGCAATGTTTCAAACAAGAGTCACAAAGGTAGACTCATGTTCCTCAACTCACTCAGTCCCCCCTTATTAATTCTTGTTTGGCTTGAATGCAGCTTTTCCATGAGTTCTGCAAATCCATACCCAGTTGAGTTTGAGGATTTTCATGATTGGACACTAAGACCCCACGAGACACATCACCGGGTACAGTCACAGGCATTTAATGGCAGAGTAGGGATGAAAGGCCTGTGGACACATGCTTAATGAGATATATTTTCACCAAACACAGAAGGCAAGACATCAACATGGAAGCAGAGAGGTCACAGGACCTGCATCCTGGTCCCCAGGGCATGGCGTGTCCATGAGTTTCTGTATCTCCAAGCCAAACACGCTCATGTCTTCCGAGCTAAGTGTTCTGCTTCTAGAATTTTCTCCCAAGGATAAAACCAGAGGGGTTGTAAAGGATTTGCAACAGTGTTCACAGAGGCTTCCTGGATGATGGCGAAGCCCTGCAGCCCACCGCCTTGCCCGAGGCCCACAGAACTGTTCAGTGCCCCCTTTGTATCCACCATGGTCAGGCAGGTCTAGCCCTTTCTACCCCAGTTGCACAGCACACACTCTCCTGGTGTCCACCAGGCCGTTTGGCCTCTGTGTTCCATGTCCTCGATGGATCTCTTCAGAAGAAGGTAACCCACATCGGGTGGAGGGAGCAAATATACTCCTTCCCACCCTTTCTACCTCCTTGCACCCATCCAAGGTTTGTGCAAGGGGAGCAGAGCTGCAGGGACATATAGATGGGGTTCTTCTTCTGTGGCACTTCCAAGAATCCCCTTGCACAGAGCCTCAGCCTTAGCGCTTAGCTAGCTATTTTGGTCTCCACCCCCACTGTCCACCCCAGCCACGGGGCAGCATTCTACCTGCCAGCATCCTCAGAAAGAACTCCCACACCCTAGCTAGCTGCCCTCCGTCCAAAGCCCAGGTGCTGACCTAGGCATTCGAAAGGAGACTGGATGAGGAGACACACCCACCACACCCAGGTGCCTGAGTGTACTCCACACCACACCATCTACTTCAGGGGTGTGGTGATGGCAGACTTCCCACTGTGTGCTTTTTGCCCTGAGACATGCCAGCCGTCCAATGTGGCACAGAGCACAGAGCCGGGCTTCAGCCCCCCCGGCGACCTGGCTGGCTGATGCGGCTGCCTGGGCCTGCCTGCCTCCCTCCCTGGCTCAGGTCCTTTCCTATGAGCATCTGCCTGGGCCCTGTTACTCTGGCTCTGCTCTGGTGTCCCGAGCCCTGGGTGCAGGTAGTCAACAGGCAGTTGAGGAGCCACAGACTCCAGACTGCTGGCCCTGAGTTCCCCTCAACCCAACCACCATGGTGACCAATGTGGACCTAGGTGCCAAATAGGACTGCAGTCCATGCCTTCCTGCTCAACCGCAGGGGGCACCTCTGAAAAAAGGCACAAATACCTGTCAGCCCCAAATACCTCCCCCCAAGACCCTCCCCACCGTCCAATAACCCCTAGGGACAGATGTATAGAGAAACCAACACAATCTACACTCCAGGCACTGCATTTCACTCAGCTTCTCATTGTACGCAGGTGGGTCAGAGGATTCAGCACAACAGGACAAATTACACTTGAGTAGTGAGCAAATGTGTTTCTCCCAGGGCAGCAACATTTCCAGATACCCTGCAGCAGGCCTGGTTGTCAGCCTACCTGTGCTCCAGTAGGAGCCCTGCTCTGACATTGATGAGCAAGCCACAGACCATGAGTACCTCTGCAGGTAAATGGGCCCAAATATATCCTGGATCCTTTCATTTTGTTGTTTTGATTTTGCTCCAAAGTCCAGAGAGTTACCTCTGGGGCATGGATGGAGCTCTCTGTTCAAGAGCATAGGAGGTAAATGAGCCATATGTTCCCCACAACACCACTCCTGGGATAGGCCAAGTCAAGCTACTACCCGTGTGCTACACTGTGACCTGAGCAGGGCCAAAGCACAGCCTGCTCCCTGGATGTGGAGAGAACAGGGATGCAGTCCCTGAGCCACATATTCTGAAGCCAGAACTCTAAGGAACTATGCATGTGGGCTGGTTGTAGCACAGAAACTGGCAGGCAACATGCTGCCCTGAAAGCCACCCAGGCTCCTTGCAGCCTCAGAGTGGGTGTTCAGTGCCTGCTCTGCATTCCAGATCGCCCCTGCTCTGTTCTGACTCAGACTAAGCTGGAATTCCTGTGGTCCCTCCAAGGTCAGGTGGCATAAAAAGGGCCTAGAGTAGTTGGGGTGTCCCTGGGAAGGGAACCCCCTGAGGCAGATCCCAGGATGAGGCTGGAGGGCACATCAGGGGCTCACTGAGATGGGAACCCACAGCAGATTGCTGTGGGAACAGGGAGCCCAGTGTCTGTGGAGGGTGTCCACATCACTGCCTCAATACCTGTGTCCCTGGTGAATGACTGAATCTATCTGTGCCCCACGTCTTCTGTAGAACCGGGCCTCACAACACTACGTCTCCCAGGATTTGGTAAGGAGAAACCAAGACAATGAACATAAGCACCTCACCAGTGATTGGAATAGAAGTGGCATCCATGAAGACTCATCTCCCTAGGACTGTTTGGTAGGAAACATGTTTTGGAACACCCGGCTCAGCTAGTCATGTGGTTTTGAACATCAGAGGAAAAGCACCTGGCTTTAGGGAGCCTCCCTCCAACATGATGACTCACAGCCACCCTGATCCAGTTACACAACCTCTTCTCCAAGGACATTCCTGGCTGTCTGGTAAATATCGGGCTGTGCAGATACACTACCCTGCAAGCCCGCCCCAGGAAGCCATGGACCCAGAAAGTTTGTGGCTACCGATTGGGCCCAGCTGTCCTCCCTGTGTCACCAGGACAGTGGACCTGGCTTTCTGGCCTTACCTTGCTTCTCAGTGGTGATGACGGTGGCCCTAGGGGCTCCCCCAGCCCTGCATCACCTTGGTCATCAGCCTGAAGATGTATGCTGACTCTGGGGCCAGCTCAGTGGCCATGAATTGCCTCACCATGGCACCCATCTCCATTGTGGTGAACGTGCTGGAGTTGCTGTTGACCAGGCAGTAGGCGATCTGATACCCTGTGGGTGAGACAGGAGGGCCACGCATCATTCTCATCTCCCCCTTGGACCCCACATTCCTGCCACCCCGCCACCACCACTCTGCCATGCTTCCACCATGTCCTTCATCCTCTGCCAGCACCTGAAAGGAATGGCACAGCCACAGTAGCAGATGGAGCCTCTGAGTGCTGGGCCCCTATGACTCTCATTCCCCTTCATCCATCCCACCACCAAGATGTGGAAACAGTTTCATATTTAGTGATTCAGTACTTACATAAAACACCAGTACTCATCATATCAGCAATTTAAAACCTCCCAAAAAACCAAGTTCCAGAAGCAGATGCCTTTCGTGGTAAATTCTACCATTTAGGGAAGGATTCATACCAGTCCTTTGCCCACTTTTCCAAAAAAACAGAAGAGAAAGCTTCTAAAATCACTTGCTGAGGCAACATTACCCTAATACAAAAATAAACGAGGACACCCCAAGAAAAGAATCTTACAGTCCAATATCCCTGATGACCATAGATGCAAAAATGTTCAACAAAATACTAGCAACCCAAGTTTACCAATATGTTGAGAGGATCACATATTATGATCAAGTGGGATTTTGCAGGAATGCAATGATGGTTTACAGGTGCACATCGGTCAAAGTGATACAGCACATTAACAAAATAAAGAATAAAAATGATGTGATCATCTTGCGATGCAGGGAAACATTTGACAAACTTTAATATCCATTTGCAATCAAAATTCTCAAAAGACTGCATAGACCAGGAACATACCTCAACACCGAAAAGGCCATATATGGGTCGCCTGGGTGGCTCAATGGGTTAAAGCCTCTGCCTTAAGCTCAGGTCATTAACCCAGGGTCCTGGGATTGAGCCCCACATCAGGCTCTCTGCTCAGCAGGGAGCCTGTTTCCTCCTCTCTCTGCCTACTTGTGATCTCTCTCTCTGTCAAATAAAAAAATAAAATCTTTTTTAAAAATGCCATATATGACAACCACACAGATTACGTCACATCTGATAGTGAAAAGTTTTAGCTGTTTCTATTTCCTCTAAGATCGCCTAAGTTAGAAACATTGCCAATCTTTCCTTGCCACTTTTGCTGAACACAATATTGAAAATCCAAGGCAAGACAATTATGCAAGAAGATAATCAGAAGGCATCAAAACTGGAAAGAAAGAAGTAAAACGGTCACTATTTGCAGATGATATAGAATATAAGGAAAACCTCAAAGAAGCCAGTTTAAAATTGTTCAAACTATGACTAAATTCAGTAAAGGGACAGGATACAATATCACTACCCCAAAACCTGCTGTGTTTCTATACGCTAATAACGAATCATCAGAAAATAAATTAGGAAGATCATCCCACCTGAAGTTGCATCAAAAAGAATAAAATACCCAGGAATATACTTCACCAAGAGGTAGAATCTTGTATGATGAAAAGGACAAGATGGTAAAGAAAGAAACTGAAGGCAACACACATAAACTGAAAGACACCGCATATTCATGGGTGAGAAGAATTAATAATGGTAAAATATCCATACATCCCTAAACCATCTACAGTTTCATTGCAATTCCTGTCCAAATTCTAAGGACATTTTTCACAGAAAGAGAACAAAGGATCTAAAAATTTGTATGATGCCACAAAAGACTCTGAATACCAGAGTAATCTAGAGAAAGAAAAACCACACTAAAGGCATTACACTTCCTCATTTCAGACTAATGACAAAGCTAGAGTAATCAAAACAATCTAGCATTGTCATAACAACAGACACACACATCACCAGAATACAGGAGAGAGCCCAGAAGTAAACACACACATCTATGGTCCAGGACTTTATGACAAAGGAGCCAAGAATAAACAAGGGGGAAAAACCGTCTCCTTCATCAATGGTGCTGGGAACACTGGAGAACCACATGCAAAAGAAAAAAACTGCACCATCTCTTAAACCATACACAAAAATTAACTCAAAATGGGTCTAACAATGGAATATAAGTCCTGGAAGTATAAAACTTGTAGCAGAAAACACAGGGTTTGGAAAGGTCCTTGACCAAAGATCTTGGTAGTGGTGCTTTTAAGCTGATACCAAAGTAAAAACAAACAAAGAAGCAAAGTGTGGGCCTACATCTAACTATAAAACGTCCAAACAACAAAGGAAACCATCAACAAAATAAAATGGTAACCTAAGGTAAAACATTTGTAAATTACTTATCCTGTAAGTGGTTAATATTCAAAATATAAAGAACTCATGGAACTCAACAGCAAAACAAAACAAAACAAAACACACAAAAGCACCAAAAACAACAAAAAAACCACCACAAGTAATCTAGTGTATCAGGAGCAGATCCAAACAGACATTTTCCTAAAGAAGACAAACAGATGGTCTACACGAACATGAAAAGATGCTCAACATCATTAATCATCAGGGAAATGCAAATCAAACCAGAATGAGGCACCACTTCACACCTGTCAGAAGGGCCATTATCAAAAACACAAGAATAGCAAGTTTTGGTGAAGATGTGGAGTAGAGGAAAACTCTAGTGCACCATATGGAAAACAGTACAGAAGTTCCTCAAAAAAAATGAGAAATAGAACAACCAAAGGAGCCAGCAATTCCCTTTCTGAGTATTTATTGGAAGGAAATGAAAACACTAACTCACAAAGGTATATTCACCCCTGTGTACACTGCAGGATTATTTACAACAGTGAAAATAAAGAAACAACCTAAATGCCATCAGTGGGTGAATGAATAAAGAAACTGTGGTCAATAAACACACTGGAATCCTACTCAGCCATAATAAAGGATGAAATCTTTCTTTTTACAACACGGCCCTTGAAGGCATTATGCTAAGTAAAACAGGCCAGACAGAAAGAAAATATACTAAAAATCACTTACATGTAGAACCTTAAAACAAACAAAACAAAAACAGAAATGTGAGCTCACAGACAGAACAGATGAGGGGTGGCAGAAGTTTGGGGTTGGAGGTGGGAGAAATGGATGAAGGGGTCAAAAGGAAAAAAGAAAACAAACCCAAATATAGTATCATTTTTTTTCCAATTAACTAATCTGTACCCCAACATGGCTCAAACTCATAACCCGGAGATCAAAGAGTCTCACACTCCACCAACCCAGCCAGCCAGGGTCCTGGAATTGTAGCATCTTCCGATACTCAATATATGGACAAAGGGGAAAGTAATCTATGGTATTTTGAGGGCTAGGTATTTTTTGGTAAATATAAAAATGAAACAACACATTCTTCAGGGTCACACACTCAGGACTGTATCTAGTTCTACTATTTATCATGACACTGAGCAAGTAACTTGCCTTTTTAATTTAATTATTTATTTGAGAGACAGAGAAGGGGGGAAATAAGCAGGGGGAGGGACAGAGGAAGAGGGAAAAGAAGACTCCCCACTGAGCAGGGAGCCTGACCTGGGGTTCGATCCCAGGAACCTGGGATTATGTCCTGAGTCAAAGGCAGAAGCTTCAATGACTAAACCACCCCGGTGCCCCTACTTAACCTCTTTTCTGCCTGTTTCCCCACCTCTGAGGATATTATGAATATTTGCTTTTAGAATAGCTTCTATTTTCAAGAATAGTTTTTAGAATTCAATGAGATAGAGGTCACTTAGAATAATAACTATGAGAGTAATCCCTCAAAAAAAAGTTTTAAAAAATCTTATTCTGGGGGTAACTGGGTGGCACGGTCAGTTAAGCAGCTGACTCTTGATTTTGGCTCAAATCAAGATCCTAACTCCTGGGAGAGAGCCCCGCACCAGGCTCCAAACTCAGTGGGGACACTGCTGGAGGATTCCCTCTCTTCTTCTGACCCTCCGCTCTCTAGCATATGCTAGTGCAAGCACTCTCTTTCTGTCTCTTCAATAAATAAATGTCTTAAAAAATCTTATCCTGAACATTTGGTGGTTGCATAATCATTTCATAATTGGGCAGTATCTCCTAGTTTACAAAGCACTTTTATACACACTCTCTTATTGGAGTTAGGATATGGTCCTGGGAGAAGAATTTATTTTGTTTATTTATAGAGGGAAAAAAAAAAAGAAAACCAGACTTAGAGCAGGGGTGTGCTTTGTTCATGGCTACAGAGCTAACAGATGATCTTCTGATTTTCAGTCCAATGGAGGAGAAAAAGAAAAAATCCAAACACTGTAACAAGGGCCAATGAAGGGCCTTACAAACTGATAATGGAATCAATGCAGTAAGATGCTGCAACATTTATAAACATTTACCCACCCAGCAGTGGAACAACTAAATATGTAGAGCATATATGAACAAACCTAAGAGAAGCATTCAGCACCAATACCATAGGGAAATTTAATACCGCACACTTCTTTCAATGATACATCATCCAGACAGAAGATCACAAAGGAAACATCGGCCTCAGACAACCCGTTACTTAGATGGACTGGACAGATACACACAGAACCCTCCATCCAAAAGCAGCACATGGAATACTCTCTTCTCAAGGGCACCTAGAACATTCTCCACCATAGGTCATATGTGAGGCCACACGACAAGTCAATAAACTCCAGAAGCCTAGAATTTTCCCAAGTGATGAGTGAAATCAAATCGACCATCTTTTCCAAACACAGTGGTATAGAAGTAGAAATCAATTACAAGAAGAAAACTGGAAATTCATAAACAAAGAGACTAAACAACATGCTATTGAACAACCAATTGAGTTCATGGGAAAACTGAAATAGGAACACAGAAATACTTTGAGGCAAATGAAAAAATAATACAATCAAACAAAAGTTATGGAATGCAGTAAAAAGGGTTCTAAAATGGGGCACCCAATTAGTCGGTGGAGCGCTGTGACTCCTGATCTTGTGGTTTTGAGTTTCAAGCCCATGATGCGCATGGAGCTCACTTTATTTTTTTAAAGGTGTCATTTATTTATTTTACAGAGAGGGGAAGAGAGAGAGACTGAGCAAAGTGGAAGGAGCAGCAGGCAGTAGAAGAGGGAGAAAGTGGCTCCCCGTGCT